ATAACATCTGACTGCTGGAGAGTCGCTGAAGAGAGATTCGGTTTTAAGGAGAGATTCACATTTTCCTTTTTTCCTTCTTTTTCACATTTTTAAAAGTATGTAGATTTCCATAAGAACACTTAATGGATGCAGAACATTCACATTCCATGTGCCCCTAATTTAAATGCATTTACTGGATGAATATAACATTTTGACCAAGTTCAACTGGAGTTCAGCACAGAATTGGCTCTGACTAATTCAGTCTCATAGCATTGCCAAATAGGCATAACATACTAAAACTCAAACTAACTCCTTTGAACTTAATTTATACTTAGTTCCCCTTTACACATCGAACATATTGGTAAATGGGGGAAATAGGTGCTCCATCCCTTTCCTTTTCATGCACAGGCACAGTTAATGTTACTACTTACTACTGATCTAGGACCACTATAAAAGAAAATTCTCTTTAAGATGAGTAAAGATGCTCATCTAAATTTAAAAAAAATATATATAATGTGTGTAAAAATATAATATAATAAATATAATAGAATAGAATAGAATAATAGAATATAATAGAATATAATAAACCGCGAAAATTTTTTTTAAAATTTTTATTGAATTGATGTCAATTTTTAAGATTTCATATCCATTTTCTTTCAATCTGATCATAGTTAAGCCAAACCTGTCAAACCATAGTCTAAAAGACCAGATTCATAAGTGAATTTTGACTAAATGTGTAGTTACTATGTTTTGCCTTTGCATGGCAGCACTATGAGCACGTTGGGTTTCGGCTTTCTCCATCTCGCTAAACAAAGTCAGTATTCCACCAAAAAAAAAACAATTAAAAAAAAACTCACAAAACATTCTGTTTTGCAGTGTATCTAAGCAGCAGATGATGTTGGGAATAGACATTATTCATCTCTAACTTTAGTGCTCATCATAAATGAACAAATACTGCAGACAACAGCTAAAATGTGAAGTTAAAATGACACTGAAAGGATTCAGTAGTTACCAAATAAGAAATGAATACTCTATCATCATTTACTTGGTATAACATTAACCTCATGTTATACCAACCCCCTATGGCTATCTTTCTGAGCAGAATTCCTAAACGGCTTTCTTCCAAACTGTGAAAGTGAATGAGGATGAGTGATGGCAAGCTCCAAGAAAGCAGCATATAAGTAGTCCATGCTTCTGCACTATATTCCAAGCCTTCTGAGTGAGGAGTGAATTTTAGTCATTATTAAATGAAAATCTGGCCATGAAAATCTTGCAGTCTTGGTCACAGTTTGCTCTCACTGTACAGAAAAGAGCAGCTTGGATATTCTGCTAAACATCTCCTTTTGTGTTCCACAGAACAAGAAAAAAAGTCAGTCATACAGGTTTCAAAAAACTAAACACTGAAGTAAATAATAACATAATTTTCAGTTTTGGGGGGAGCTATTCCATTAATATCACTGAATGTCTTATTGTTGAGCTAACAAACATTCAAATTCATCAATGATATTAACTATTTGTCAAAGTTACTTAGTAACGTATTTACATTAAACCATAGTCAAGTAACCTGTTGTCTGAAACTTTAATTAGAGTGTTGTCAATACAAAAAGTTCAAACTATTGGATATTTTAAGCAGATTCACTAAAATTGAGCAGATTTTATTGACTAACACCAATCAAAATCTAAACTGAAATTAGAGGAAGTCTGTAATTTATTCTGATCCTTCCTATCCTTCACCTCATCATCACATTTAACAAGAGTTTGTTTCTGACATGCTCTTTTGGGGAGTTCATTTGCAGTTATCTACATCTGCAGTTGTTCTCTTTTACCAGTAGATGGCATTAAAGTTAAAAGAGAAGAACCTGCTGACACTGACTATCATGTAAAGCAGTGGTTCCCAACCACGTTCCTGAAGCCCCCCACCCCCAACACTGCACATTTTGCATCTCTCCTTTCTCTGACACACTCATTTCAGGTCTTGGAGTCTCTACTAATGAGCTGATGATCTGAATCAGGTGTGTTTATTAAGGGGCCATGGAAAACATCCCCTGTGCCCGAAATCGCCCCCTATACCCTTAAATAGGGCACTGTTTGAGGGGACAGACATTTTTAGTGGTGTCCGAACCCTTAGTGGACATTATCGAGTGCACTTATTTAATCCCACAATGCACAGCAATAATGAGTGTACAACTGATGTATGCTCAACAGCTAGAGAATACCCATAATGCACTGTGAGAGTCTCGCCAGAAGATGGCACCTGCAGCTGAATCATCCATCCATTAATTTTACAAAGCGCTCGTCCACGCATACAGTTTAATACAACGCAAGTATAAATTCATTGTAAATTGATTATTAAATTGTTTAAAGCTGCAGTCCGTAACTTTTGGCGCTCTAGCGATTAATAAACAGAACAGGGGCAGTTTCGGATTCAGCCAGGCACTTTTAGGGGGGCTCCAGGAATGTGGTTGGGAACCCCTGATGTAAAGAGTGGAGTCTCTGCTAAAGAGGGAGAACCCCTGAGAGTTGACCTGATGTTTGATTTTAAAATGGAAAAAGAAAATATGAAAACTTAAAAAATAAAAAATAAAAATAAAGCTGATTTTTACATACTCCACTACTATAGCAGTCTGAATGTACATGGTTGGTGATATACAGTGGAAACTATATTGAATTATTTATGTTTTGACTGCATCTATAGATTTCAAACACACAGAGGTAATATTGTGCACTGTATGCAGTGCACAATAAGTCATGTCTGTTACAACATTGTAATTTAGTCTACTTTTACTGAAGAGACTGTACTAGGTTGCTAGAGAAAAAACAGCAACAAAAAGAGCTAAACAAATCCAAAGAACACTACTACTACTAATAATAATAATAATAATAATAATGTCTTAATTCTGAACAGTATGTGTATTGGTTTATAATTTACAAAAGAAATTGTATTTTTTGTGAACTGTTGCTTTGAAAGTGTGCTTGTGCTATATTTATTTTTTTATTATTATTATTATACTTTGTTTGATTAAAATGCATCATTGCACAGATTACAAATTGAGTGGGTCTTAAATATCCGAATACTTTTTCCCGGAGCCATTTTTACTGTATATAAAGCTGCAACATATAAAGCCTTCAACCATCTGTAAAGCTGAAAACTAAATCTGTTAGCAGAGCAACAGCATATAAAATGTTCTCTTCACCCAAAAAACACCTAATAAACATGAGCTTTTCTGCACCCATATAATTTATAAAAAAAATATAAATGAATATGTCATTCGACATCTTTGCCTAAGAAAATGCACACAGAGTAAAAAAGTTGGAAACATACTTGTAATGATTACAACAGAATCATAACAGAGGAGCAAATGTCAACTGCTTGATTGTTTATTGTTAGAAAGAAATGCAACTATATTATGACCAGTTCTAAAAGCAACTATAAGGCATGAAGATATTAAGGTATAATAAACATTAACATCAAGATTTTCTGTAAAGCTGCTTTGAAACTATGTGTACTGTGAAAATCATACAAATAAATTTGACAGATTTCGGTTCTCCTTCCCCAAAATAAATACATTTAAACAATCACATTTTCAAACAATGCCATTTAATGCACCGATAGGACCTGAGATAGAGAAGATTCTTCTCGCTCGTACAAAATCCCGCAACTCCTCTCATGGAGCCCTCCCTGCAGTTACCAGCACTCAAAATGCTTCTCCACCTTACGGCCCTTCATACTCATTTGATCAGATTTCTCTTCCGCATCATCCAATCCACATGTAAGAGCAGCCATTCACATTATTACAAACTGTTGCTGTCCACAGAACTCAAATTTCATTCAAAGCTAGTTTTTCTGTTTCACTTTGCATTGAATGAATGAATTTCATGTTTGCAGTGAGTGAACATTTGTTTTTCAGTTTTTCCATCGAATCACTAATCAATCCACAGCCACACACACTCAATCCAGACATGCTTATGTTCAGACTCGTTTTTAAGTCTTTTCTGTAGTCGTGAGCAGTGACAGACCATAAGACTTGAGCGCCTGTGCAGCTCTGCATCTCTCTGTTAATTTATTGCAGTTTACGCTCACAGGCAGGGCTGGATTGGTAATCGGGCATACCAGGCATTTTCCCGGTGGGCCGACGCACTTAAGGGGCCGACAGAATGTTGTTGTTTTTTTTGCCGAAGATCATCACGCAGGGACAGCGAGCAGCCAGTGGCCCATTGGTTTGTCTCCTGTATTGACAGTGTAAACATCCAATCACAATGCGCTATAGACGGAGCGATGAAGTATTTTGCTCCGCCTATATAAAGATCGCATCACCCCAACTTCTTCCTCGTCGGCTTTTCCCACGTTTTCAC